GGTCTGTGCATGACTGATTCTTACAGAATCCAACCTTTTGGTCCTGGGGCTGGGTGTCTACTAAATTTTTCATCCAGTTAAACCCAGAACCTATCGGTCTCGCGCGCGAACACTTAACCTATAGACCACTGAGCCGTTAAACAACACTGCTGGAAACGTCTCCTTATACTTACAGCTCCATGATGTCTCGACAGTCCCCGTATTTGCCTCGATTTTCGTTCGTTGGTTTCTTGATGAGGTGTCCTTTCCAGTCTGTTGGCATTTCCTCTTCCAAACCTTACTGAATAGAGTGTGGGGCGTGTTTGCGGTTAATTCTGTCTGACTTCGGCTGGTATGTTGTCAGGTCTCAATATAAGTTTGTCTGAAGGCCATTTTGATTTCTTCGATCGTTGGTGGAGTGCCTTCTACAGGGAGTTGTGTTTGTGTACCGCTTCGATGTATGGTGGATTCAATAGAGCGGGTCTATTCAAAAGTTCCTTGAAGTGTCGGCTAGAGACAGGTATCTAAATTAAGAGACGGTCACGCAATTTTCTGAATTGGTTGATTACCGATATTAACACCATTGGATGCCGGCCGGGGTTGTGGGTGCGCACTACTGAGGAGTCCCAAAAAAGGACGAAACGGCCGTTCAGTGGTTCTGAGGTTTCAGTGTTGGTTTAATGTCAATCGATTCATGATCTCTACCAAAAATATATTTCTCTTGCAGCTCTTTCCACCGTCCTTGCCAGGTTTCCACGTATTTCTGCTTGTCAGTTCTAATACTCTTCTTGCTTGTTTGCTTCTGTGTATTTAGCTTATGCTTTGACTTCCTCCGTTCTTGTTCGGCTGATGTTAACTGCTGTCTTGTTCTTTCTTTCCCAAATGTTGTTCAGGGTTTCGATAGAGATCCATTCTTTATGATGATGCTTCTTTGCTGCTCGGAAAATTCTGACATGTTAGTGTTGGTTAGTGCCTCTGATCGCTTTTCAGTTATTCCCCATAGTAGTTTCCTCTTTTTTAAGTGGATGTTGTAAGACTTGAAAGCTGTTGTTCAAAGTTATCTTGAATTCGTTGAGTTTGTCAGTATGTTGAAGAAAGGCAGTATCAGACCTTTGTAATTCTGTTTGTACAGTTGTCCAATGCCTCTTTAGCTTTAGTTTAATCTCGGACACTATATGGTGGCACTCTGAGTCTATGTACGTTCCTTTCTTTGCTCTCATGACTCCCATTGACCTGAATATTTAGTTATACACAAATGGTCGATCTGACTCTCTGTAGTGTGATTCCATGAGATTCCAATTAGCCTTGTGTATGTATTTGTGGTGTAATATTGTGCCACCTATAAACATTTTATCGAAAGCAAATAAATTCGTAAATCTAACAACGCTATCATTCATTTCTCCCAGTCAGTCCATGTTATCCGTTTATATCTTCATATCCGGTGTTGTCCATTCTGACTTTGATGTTCAGGTCTTCCATCAGGATGGTCGGGTCTATTCTTGTGCACTTCTTTACGATCGCATCTAACCTCTCATTAAACTGATCATTATGATCTCCATTGCTATGACTGATGAACGCACAGCACTGGGCAATTTTCATTTTAACCTCTTTATTTCGATTGTTGATTTGATCACGCATCAGTAAGATCCTCATCTCATAAGTGCTCTTCGTATTTTGTTGAAATGCATCATTGCGATTACCTGTTTAAGTGAAGCATTTTCTTGTTCGCAACGAGATTGTCTATACATTCCATGTACTCATATTAATTATTGTCCCGGTTGTTAGAATGAGCATTGACTTCGTGGCTTCCGAAGAATCTTGGCTTTCTTTTTGAGGTGTCATACTTTTTTTCACTGAAAGCCCTTCAACTCTCGTGGCAGAGTTCAAATGTTTCAGACTTTTTTCTGGTTGTCATTTGTCAAGTAAGATTCAGGATTTACACTGGCCTCAAAGTTTAACCTCAAAATCAACTCTGCTTTTGGGGAATCCTGTAAAGTTTCTAGAAAGATCTCCGAAATTTTTTAAGAAAAGCAAACGAGAAATGCGTGGTATTTTCCTCACCATTTGACAGTTTTCCCAAAACCATCACTCAATAATCTCACAATTTCAAGTTTGCCTCGAATGTTCCGTTTTTAAAATATTGAGGTTATTCGCTGTTTGCTTTTGTTTATATAAGACATTCTGACGTTATACTAACTACCGTATTCGACTTATTCACACCTATGACAATCAATAAATTAGTGAATGTTTCTGAAAACAGCAAACTGATGATTGCAACGTATGAGTTTCAAGACGTAAAAAAGTAGTATTTTTTCAAATGCTCTTCAATGTCTTAGTTATACACCACACTGGTGGGGTCCTACCTAGTAGTGGAGATAACTAAAAGAAGAAATCGACAAATCTAATTATTTATTGCCATTAGGTTGTGAAGTTATTCAGGATAGTTATTTGTCTGAGAACAATATAATTTGCTCAATAGTCCTGGCTCTGACTGAATCAAAAGTCCATGGCTTAAGTAAATTTTGAATCGCATCATTGATGGATTATTTTATTTAGTATATAAGTTGCGTAAGATTACGTAGACAAAATATAACTTCAAAACTTTCTAAAAATGCCTTGACGATACACATAAGTGACTTAGAAATTTTTGTATTCACAATTTATAGCCTGCTAAATCTAAAGAACACATGCTCTCTCCAAGCAAGTGTAGAGTGGCACAGCTATGGAAGTGCAACAATTAAGCGGATACTATGAACTTCAAGACATGAAATTAAAATCTTATTTAAATCAATCTTTAACGCGTTTTTTATGCATTAAACTGACGAAATTCTTCATTTGATAAACTATGGTTGCATAACTTCGTGCTCCATGGTTTAATAAAACTTCAGTCATAATATAATTGACAGAACACACATTTGGCTAGACATAATATTTTTAAAAATTCTATTTGAGATTTGTATGTTGTACTTTAAACCTAGGTATGATAGTTCGTTGGTTTTTATTTGCTGTGCTTGTAATATTCTGAAAGAGGGAAACGCAAGTGGACACTTTACTTAAAGACTTATTATCTGCGTGTGTTAAGTGCGGTGGAGGTATGAAAATTCAGCCTATGAAGCTTCGAGTACATGGTGATCCAGTATTTCTTAAAGCACGGATAATTATTTTTGGTCTTCAGGATGTAGTACATAAGATATTGAACGGCTTGTGTGAGAATGATATAATTTGACCGATTCAATCCTTAGCATGGGGTACTCCTATTGGTACACCACTGAAATCGGACGGCAAGACCCCAAGAATATGTGGTGACTATAGATTAACACTGAACTTCCGTTCGCTGAAACCAATATGCAGGACGGCAGGGCCTGAAGATATTCTAAATCGACCTTGTGGTTCTGAGGTGTTGTCGAACGTTGACTTAAAATACGGTTATCTTCAAACCCTTCAGACCATCTTCTCCTTCAGGTCTGTCCAAATGCATACTTCCATTTGGTCTAAGTTGTTCTGCTGCCATATCACGGGAAGTGATGATGTGACGGTAAATAAATCTCCAAAATAAATAACTCTGTAAATTTTGACGTGGATGCTGACCACACTAGTTTCAATGGACTCACCTAGCTGAAGGCGCTCGGTCATGCATCCGTACCAGATCACGTGTGGTAACGCTGTGCTCAACATCTACCGCAATCGCTAGCCAGATTAGATCAGAGAATCCTGATATGTTGGTAATCGCCAAATACACTCTTCCGATCTCCTCGACTCTGTATTTTGATTTCTCTCGGTGGGTGCAAATTATATTAGAAAGTGTTGCTTGTAAAAACGTTGTCAAACACTGAATACCAGTGTCATCTTCAGTTTCATTGCAAAGAATATTACAGTGAACTCGAACAAGTATCTAGTTTTTTATGTCTTGCATACCTAGTTGAAAGTAGTGGTTTTTGATCAGATATGAAAAGACTCGCTCCACTGACAAACGTTCGATCTCCAGTACTACATTCGCTGGTGGGCGGTCTTCAATACTATTCCCGACAGTCGTGTCACTGAATATCAGATAGTCCTCAGCTTCTCGTCAGGGTCAATGGGAACATCGAGCAGTTGCACTCCTTAGACTGGTCCGGGCGGTTTTGGTCGCAATTTTTTTCTTGTACCTACTCCTGCTAAAATATTTCTGCAATAACGTTGTCTTTGTTGTACGGTCCTCAAACAGGACGTAGTAGCTGTATACGACGAGAGAGTAAGCCGCGTTAGATGCTAGCCGTTAAATGTAACTTCCACGTTGTCTTGTTGATCACACCATCCTCATGTAACTGAAGTAGGATCCCACTAATTCTACACAGCTCTCCGTTGTTGATCGACAATCACTTTGACCCTATAGACATTAGGGATGTAGATCACCAACGCAAATGATCTATGTCGAAATGATTAGAGACCTACTCGATTTAGATGTGAATGGTGAGAGAAACCAGCTAACATCAAAGTCACACATTACATGGTCTATCCCATTGACGTATCAAGGTACTATAGATGCCTTGAAGACTGTACAACACAAAGGAAGTTATTACAGAAATGAATTGGTTAAAGTAGATACAAGCGGAGGTAATACCACTGCCGCATGGGCCAATCCATGGAGTACGATTAACTCGCGTGCGTTGGTTATCCTTGACCTTGAAAAGGATCGATTATTTGTACAATATAATCAATGACCTAACTGCCGGATGATCTGGCCAGGTCTCAGTAGAATTTCACTGACCCTACAAGAGGAATACTCCCGCTGTTATTTTCAGATCACTTCTACTATCGACCTAATTGTTTTGATGCTCAGATTTTCATAACAATGTGCCTCTTTCAACTACCAAATTGCATATCCTAATGAACAGATGATTCGCTAATCCTGCTTTGCACGTTTGAAGTTTTTGAGCTCGTCTATCAAGTAAAGTCCTGTCTTTTTCGAATGATATTGCACAATTAGACGAAGTTTATACTAACACATAGTTTGAACTCACTATTTTGTGTGACCTTAGATACGCACGTAATTGAAAAGCAAGGTAACCGATGAGAACTATAGACGCGGCCTGTATATGCTGCAAAGCCTACGATATAATTTATCTTTACTGCAGATTTCCTGGGTTTTTTAAATTTTACAGCATTTTTTTTATCGATTCATGATGACGAAATATCCTATGGAAAGCGATCGAATTCGTAGGGTTTTTTTTATTTGTTTGTGAGCTTATCTAATATAAATTACAACTGAGATAGACAGAATGAGGTGGATTCTCTTTTGTGAGTATATGAAAAATTTTAATTGAGTCGTACCATTCCATAACTATCCCATTACATACCTGCAAGCCGCCTGTGTGTCAGTAGATTTCTGGCGATTGTGGTCTCGATGTTTGGAGTAAGTCCGTGATCTTTCGTTGCGTTGGGCAAAGTTTATCCGACGGATTCTCCAACTCGTTTTCAATGTTAAGCGGTTCGGTGCTTCATTTTTTCTAATGTATACCATTGTTTGATTTTTATATTCGACACTATATTTTTGTTTATCGACTGTCCTTTATTCTTTTGATGTCTTAAGATTCCATGATAATTTATTGTACAATAAGCTTATAAGCCTAATAATACGAGATACAGTCCCTTCTTAGACTGATTAGGACATCGATTAACCCTAGCCCAAGACGTCGATTTCTTAGGTAATTAGCTTAACATTGAATTTCAAATAAACTTCATCGATGCAAGACTTCACTGAATTTTAATGTTTTATCTGCACTATTTCAACTATATTTGTTGCAGTGAATGTACAAACATTATGTTTCGAAATCCTGTATATGTATCTGAATAAAGTATCTCATCAATTATTTTTAAATTGAAGGTCGTGGCCATCAGATTTTTGAGCTTCATTTTCAGCACATTGTCGTTGTAATTTACGGTTTAGCCATACACATCCGGAGGATTTCTACCGTTTTGTTTTTTCCGCTCACCATATATTTTGTGAATTTATCAAGCCGTAAGTCTTCTGTAAGTTCTATCTTGGTTGTAAGCTGATAGATCTTTTAATCTCCTTGTGGATTTTTTGATTTGTTACTTGAAATGAACTTTATTACACAGCTTAAGACATTTCTAATTGTCTGCTTGTATTAAGTCATGAGATGTCTAATTGTGCCATATATTTGCAGTGATGCGTTACCCAGAGCATTACGCATTAATTCCTGCATGTCGTCAATTATTTATGTTGGTAGTGTACGAATGAAATACGTGAATAGACAAAGTGCGTACCAAGCCGTAAATGCTACCTCTTTGTGATTAACTTATGCACCTTCATACTCTATTTTTTCGCAATTCAGTAATTTACTATTTTCCGTGCTTGAGTTTATGTTTCTTTAGTGGAATAACTTGTACTAACTAGTCAGTTACTGCTGTTTGTAATTGATTAGCTTCCAAACTAGACTTATGCAAAATTATCCCACTCTTCTTCTTATTGGAAATTTTATTTTCCAAAATGTAAATGGGGCTTTGGTTTTCATCATTTCAGTTAATATATTATGATTAAAATAAACAAGACTAGGCTTTTAAAACGTTTGACGGATAGACTTGACTGATTTTTTATGTCTGAAGACAGATTCTATGGAGAAATATTCTATTAGAACCCCAGAATAAAAGTTATTTTTATAAAGACTCCAGGTGTTTCTTATTGATACATTTCGAGTCAAATACATCTATATTTCATCTCATATATCACTGAAGCCCTTGTACATTTTTAAACCTCAACATATTCGACTTATTTTAGTTTGAACTTTATAGGCTATCAACTCTATACAATCCTTAACATTCGTTTCGATTAAGTAACATGCTACTGTAACTCGGCAGCTAAAAGTAATACGACTATAATCAACATATTTAGCATGAATACTATTGATACTACCCGATTGCTTTACTAAAAGTAGGTGAAAAGCGGTTCGAACATATATGTTGGTGGTTGAATTTGTTCAGATGAGGTCATTTTTTATGAGTTTACATGGTTACCCTACGCTTTCGGGATCCAGTAATCAGTCAGTCATATGCGACGTAGGACTCAACACATGTATTTGTTCATATTGCGACAACGCATTAACATAGAGAGGTAGAATTATTAAGACGAACCCGGGAGTATTAGAAGTTTAAATATGATCAGTTTTAGTAGGAAACGTTAGGTGTAAAGATTATTGAAAACAGATATAAAGAGATTTCAAGAATCAGAATCTAAGGGAAGATTAAGGTTTGATTCACCTTTGCCATCGGAATCGATGCTGACCTTTCTCACCCAAGGTCCCTAAACATTGATTAGAGCCAGAAAGTCTGTATCTATCAGGACAAATCACTTGATTTACTAATGATTTCATAGACGAATATCATATTTTGTTTTGGCACTACTTTTAGTTTACTTCTACACAGGACATCACCCGTTAAGGTAGGAGTCGGTCTGGCTTATATCATACATTCCCTAACCAGTTTGCTTGATAATGATTCACTATCCAATCAACTGATTTGCTATATATATCTAATACTCCATACTTACTAAACAGACAGATGATAGTACTAGTAGGCGACGTGAGAGCATTTGAAAAAAGCGAGCTGACTCTCTCCACCCTCGGCCGTACCAGGGCACTTGTTATAAGTCGGGCTGATTCATATTTGTACCTCATTCGACGTTACGGCTGACTGGCTACATATGATGTTCCATCTACGTTCATGCTAATCATTACTTGGTGATATGGAAAATAAATAGAAAAATAGATAACTTGATAAAAGTTTCCCATGGAATCTAAGATAACTTTGTGCATTATTGCCTGTTGGGTCATCAAGACTCTTGTTTGAAAATAGTTATACTACCTTATAACATAACTTTGATGTTCTCTAAATACAAAAGTTCAGACAAATATGTTTGAAATTATTCTCGATTAGGGTAACTCAATGTGGATTTTTCTTTCTATACGCTATTATTTAAAAAGATTGTGCACTTTTTATGAAATTCTTTTTTAAATAGCATATTAATGAATATAAAGTTGCATTCTGATTACTTTTGATCAATTAGTAATTAGATTAAAACAAGAAGGTGAAGCTTAATAAAGAGTTTTATTTTCGGAGAATTCATTATCGGCGTTGTAAAATTGCAGATATATACTCTTTTTCTAAAAGATAGTCACTAATATTTCTGTTGACAATGACAATAATTTGCTGGATAGTTACAAATGACCAAAATAAATAACTGTTTGAAAATTTTTCACCTGTTAAGAAGCTGAAAACATAACTTTCGATGCCTTCAGTATTCATCAGAATATCACAGGAGTTAGATAAAATCGGAAATTGCGGTGAAGGGGTTGTGTATCACGGTTATTTAAAATGTTGAATTTGAAATGAGTTATAATTAGAAAGAACATAGAAACAGGGATCAGTCGGCTTGAAATGGCAGGTCCATAGAGAAAGAGAGGAAATTTAGGTAATTGGTTTGCATAGCTAAAAAGAGAAGAGGTTCAACAAGTTTCTTTTGTGGACACAGTTCTGGTTTTTTAGATATATGACGAAGGCTTTGTAAATGCTAGAAACGGAAGGTCGTCGTCTTTAATAAATTTCTGTTTAGTTTATAGATGATTTTTAACCCTTAGTCTTTTGGTCGACTGACATGTTTACAAGACGTTGATCTATAGTGCTTCTTATGGATCTATTGTTGTTTCCGGTCATGAGGTTTATGCAATCTATGTTCGTTAATAAGCATAACGCTGCTTTTATCAATAACTTTTCTCATTGAGTTTTCTTTGCTTCAGGGTTTTTTAGAAACGGTTAGATTTAACTTAATGATAATGATTATGTATTTCCTCATGCTCAATAAACGATGGGTTCAAATTTGAATATGATAGAATTATCCCCTCAAACATTGGAAAAAGCATTTTTAGAATTAAACGAACAACCGCAACAACGACAGAATGCCATTACTGAGTTAAGACATCGTATTCAGTTACAAAGTAAATCGGTTTTATTTGTCAGTTTGGTGTTTTTCATAGAATTTATTGGACATTTACGTTTGTTTGTTTTATGATGATTATGATTGTGGACAAGGAGGCTTGGTTATTGTTTTTGTGATGTTATTGCTTAACTGGAATTTATATTAATCTTTTTAATGGTAAAGTCCCCTGTTAATATTTAATGCACTTTTTCGTTTGAATTGATTCTGCCTGGTCGAAGTATTTTAAGGGATTATCGCCTGGATATTGGATTACCGAAAAGGTTATGACTAAGATAGACAATATGTACTATTGATTTTGTTGGATATGTCTTACTCTTTGTTTTTGCTGTTCATTGATTGCAATTTCGAATTTAAGTTTTTCTTGCTGAAGTTCCTCCATTTTAGCAACAGTAAAAAACCCTTTCCTCGTACTGGTTTATTCTTTTAACATTTACTTTTCCCCCTACTCCCAGGAGAATTGTAAGTGTATTGGCAGCTAGTTAATAATCAATTAGTAGTGACCACTTCCATATTTGGCACTACATAGGGTTCATTCATTATAAATATGTCAATCCTACAGAATGTCAGTTACTGCCGTTCATTAGGCTGACACTAGTTTGGCTGTCATATGTAGCACCAGTCCCATCAAGATTACATTCACGCCTTACTGACGAATAACAACTATCACGAAACCTGGATTCAGAATAGCCTTTCGACTAATTCCGAATGCCCAATATGTTTTAAAGTGATAATTGTTGATCTAGTCAACCGTTTTCAATAAAATCACCGTTGTGACAGTTGGTGTCCGGAATCTGATACTGATACACGGTGTGCTACGTGCTAACATCCACCTGATTACTTGAGCGAGAACACAAGAGTAGGTGAGAAAGCATGTTGGGCTACCGAGTAAAATACAGGAATATTTATATATATATATAGCTTTACCACTTAGGAAACCAGGCCATTTCTTAACCAGTGGACGGTTGACTTTCTCATCAGGCTACTTCTGATTGGCTCTCTATAGCAACAGTAACTCGTATACTACGAATTTCACTATTAGATTAACTAGTGTGGTAGTGACTGAGGAATATAAAAGGAAATTTTTTATTTTTGTTGGCAAAGGAACTAGGAGTATCACGCAGTACTATGAAGACATACTTTTCGATGTTTTTTTCATTAGGTTTACAAGGATGCCTGGCTGATGAATTTCTTCTACGTTTTCTACGTGCTAAAAAATTTAATCAGGATAATGCATTCAGACTGTATACAAATTATTACATATTAAGATTACGCTATCCAGATATATTCAATGATTTAAGACCATCATTAGTTGAACACGTATTTCAAAGTGGAGTTGTATGTCGATTGCCTCAACCAGATTCAGAAGGTAGAGCACTTATCTACTTTAGACCAGGTCTATGGAATCCTGCAGAATGGTCAACAAACGATATATTTCGTGCTAATGTACTTGTCATCGAAGAATTATTATTGGTAAGTCTGCGATATTATTATAGTTTAGTATTTGATATTTAATTATCTATAGTAATTATTTATATATTCTCCTATTTAGAGGTATATACATACAATCCTCTGTACATTCCCACGTTAAGCTCATAATGTCCTTGGGCTAACTGTTCTTCAGTGTATCACTAAGGAAAGGTCCAGTTTATCCGGATAAAACCAGTCTTCTATGTAAACTGTGAAATATTCAATCTCCATAATCCCCTTATAGTAATGAGAAGGTAATCATAATATTTATATACACAGACGGCTGAGGCACAATCATTAACAACAACCAATCATAGCCAGCATCTCAGATAAGACTACAACTTCACTCACTTCGACTTGCCCAGGAGAACAAGTATCCACTGGTTTCCACACTAAACCATGTGACCTAATCTTGGTTACACAAATATGTATTTTCTTAACAAATTGTAGCTTAATAAACTCTTCAGTAAGAATATGTAGTTTGATGCATCTAAATCAAATGTAGCATCGACCGGAATTAAATTAGAATTTGAAATCTATCCTGTCTAACACTATGCTTATGTCTCTATTGGTTTGTCCTTCCTAGTATTATTTCCCTTGAACTATAGTTGAGTTAAGTACTGATTTCTTGTTCGGTTTTATTTAGCATATTAAAACAATTTTACGTCATCATCTACTCACAATAATGTTGTGTGATTTATTTTTACTTTCTTGACCGCATGCATACAATTTGTTGTATTGTTACGTAACATGTCTTCTTAATTTGTTACTGATCATTCCAACCAACATTTAACTACTGGGTTGGTTAATTAACTAGTTAAGTGCGTTTCGTTTACTAATGCTCTGTTGATGGTGCCTTTTACTGGAAAATAAGGTGTTTTTTTGATGACAGTATACTTTACTGATGACCTTCAGCAATTGTTGAATGACATTGCGAAGGAAAATCCAATATGTAGTCACTCGTAATACTGTTGATATGAATGAATAATTCCCTGCATTAAAACCCCAAAAGCGCTAATTTTAGGATTAGAAGTTTCAGTCGGAAATTAAGATTAATAGTTTAGAATAGAATGGTGGAATACTTTGTAACCACGTGGATAAATGGTCATACACTTAATCTCTTTGATTGAATGTATCAAAAACACTTTAGTCGCCTGCAAAAGATTCATCAGTTATGGTGTCTATTTAAAATGGTGACGAAGATTTGTAGCTCATGTGGATGATTTTGATGAAGTTTTGTTCTTTGAGCTGGATGGTTTGGTCATGGAGCTTTCATTGTTCTTCCGAACAATATCATTGGCAAAAAAATTCATGCAGAAGTTAAGCATTCACATATGACTCACAACTTGTTCTGTTCATCTTGATCTTGATTAGTTATTGCTGACTTTCGACTTGTCCTCATCACGACCAAACCATTGAGCTCAATGAGCAAAACTCCACCAACAATAAATATAATTTCCGCTTACGCTAGTTACAAAAAATACTGACCGGTTAACATCAACTAATACTGTTGAAGACAGTTGGGTATATATATATCTTTTTTTCGATTTTGCTGCAATATATATATATATATATATATATATATATATATATATATACTAGGTATCACGTACTGGCTTTGTTACATAATTTGGTAATCAGGCATGATAAAGTAAAAGAAACAGTCAATCAGTTATTCACAACGTACAACCTGGTACATATGTACATCGGTTCAAGTTGCCCCATTAGCAAAGAGATGTTATTAAGACAAATCCCAGAATAACAGGTGTAGTAACAGTATTAAAGCTAATAGGAAAGATTAGGCATCAAAGGTAAGATTCAAGAACAAAATATAAATCAGTGATACAAAAACAAAAACAATTTGTGAGGAATTTAGAATCCCAGGATTTGGGGGAAGAAAATGAACAGATGCACTCGCACCACTGCAAACGATTTCGAGCCGTGTCATTCAAAGTCTCTAACCATTGCTTACGATAATCACAATGACCCCGACCAAGCAGTCTGTATCTATTAACTTGGCTAAGTCGAACTGTCAGTGACTTCATGGGCTGATGGTTTGGCCGTTCTTAGCTTTCTTTCGGACTGCTTCTGCTCCATAAAACCGCGCGTTGAGAATGACGGTGGTCGGACATACGTAACGTATGTCCTAACCACCTCAGTTGATGAAAATTTACTGCCTCATCGATCGATTCGCAATCTTTACCTAGTACTCTATTCCTAACTCAGGTATTGCTTACTCCACGGTCTGAAATTTCACGAACAGTGCTTCGTAAAGACCTATAATCGAATAATAGTAACCTACGAATATCCTCTTTTAGTGGCCATGTCTCACATCCATAAAGCAGAACACAACAAATTGCTACGCAGTGAACTTGTCGTTTGCTTGACAGAAGGATATCTCACCTTCTCCACAAGCGGAGCAAATTGGCAAAAGCCGATTGAGCCTCCTGAATTCGTGCTGAGATTATGTTAGGCACCAGACCATCAGGAACGATGAGACTCCCAAGATAGGTCAGGCGGTCGACGCGCTCAACTACTTCACCTCCTATCACTAATTCGGGTGATGACGCAGGCGAATCCCGAATTAACATTTTCCATTTGGAGGGAGAGAACCGCATCCCGAACATGCTTACTTTGTTGCTTAAGGTGGTCAGAAGACTGCATCTTGTCAGCCTCTTCAGCAAACACAACTAAATCGTCTGCGAATTCTAAGTCAGCGAGTGAATCTCCCGGTAGAAAATCAACCCCTGGAAAGTCACACGATCAGTATTGCCGCCAAAAGAATGTTTATGACAAAGTTAAATAACAATAAAGAAAGCGAACAACCAAGTCGAACGCCACTTGAAGTGACCAATTCCGACATTTCACCATAAGCTCTGACTCGACCAGAAGTGTTCGAGTAGAGATCCTGTACAAGGTCAATGTACATCTTTGGTACACCTTTCAAGACAGACGCTGCATAGAGCCTCACGATCAACAGAGTCGAATACTAACTTAAGGTCAATAAATACAACTATAGTAGGGCTTCGGAAAATATGTCTATGTTCGATAATCTGCCGAAAACTGAATATCTGATTTATACATCGACGTCTAGGTCTGAAACCGGTCTGGTTTTCTGGAATTTGCTCTCTATGAGCTCCAGTTAGACGTCGAAGTGTTATTGGGGCCAATATTCTAGGCACCATATTAGTTAAACTCATTTCTCTGTAATTGTTGCAAGAGGATTTTTGTCCGTTCTCATAAAGTGGAACGATCAGCGATTGAGACCAGTCAGATGGGATTAAGTCTAGTTCTCAGATTGTAGATAAGATTTTAGTTAATCTAGCCGCTAAAACTGGATCACCATCCTTAAAAATCTCAAGGGTTAGTACACCAGACCCTGCTACTCTCCCTCGCTTCAGATTACTTATAACCTTTTCATGCTCACTAAGTGTTGAAGGACTTACATCAGTTTCCCATTCAGGTTGCTTTGAGATAGTGGGTAACTGAAGTGTGACTAAACGCTAGTTGAACTGTCCCCTAAGGTGTTTAGTCTTTCATTTCGGTCTTCTGGATTGAGAGTGAATAATGATGCCGCCTTTTTGCGAGATGTTTTCATTAACAGACGAAGTTTTAATATGCGTTTCCCCGACATTCTGAACAGTTGTTTAACGTTACCTATCGCTGCTGCCTTTTCACATCTCTTCTGCTTTCTCCACCTACCGCTGCTCACGATCATTGCTTTGGCTTTTTATCAGCCTACTTTTAGGATCCCTCTGAATATTAATGAGTTCAAAGCCAGATGAGATGAATTTTCTATCATCTATCAGTTCTGTAGACGTCACTGAGATCCAGCGCTTTTTTCCTAACCTTTCTTGGTTTAGGTTACTAGTAGATATCACTGCTGTTTCCACAGCTTTTTGGATACCCTACCAAGGTACCTCGGGGTAGATATCATTTTGGCGGTTGACTAGCTCCCTCCATAGATGTTTCTGAAATATATTATTAATTTTTTTATTACTAAGTTAGACTCTCAGGTTTTCTTAATGTGGCCGTTCTACATCCAGTAACACTCAGACAAAAGCGTGTTCAAACTAGCACATGGTCTGAGTCTAAACTTGTGCTCCAGAATGGGCGACTGTCTTCAATAGAATCCCTCCGACGATAGCTAATGGCAATGTGATCTATATTAGTCCATCGATGAGTCTGTTGTGGGGGTCGCGACGTCAGAAGATGTTTCTCTTGATGTTTTAAGTTGGTCGTTCACAGAAATGGAAGGTTATCTGAGCGTAGTTGCAACAGACAGTCGTCATTATCTGTTCGTTCGGCTGCAACACCGTAAAAAATCCGCCTAATTTCTTTTCAGTTTAGTTTAGTTTACCTACTTGAGCATTAAAATCACCTACTACTGTCTATTGGGATCCAGTCTAGGAGTGCCTGTTCTGATGTAGGACTTAATGCTATACCTACACCAGTGAGGCCACAGGAATCAGCAGTGAGATCTGCAGATAATCAAAGGGTAAATCGTGTAGGTTCTTTATATTGACAGTGTGAGGCCAAATGAATGACTGTGCTTGGATCCTGTATGCGCATTTTGGAGGCGCAGCATACATCGGTGGCTCGGGATTCTAGAGTGCTAGCTAACGAAGCCTGTTGTCCTGTCTTACGCAAAATTTGAGCATTAAAGACTCCAACATGTAATTTGAAGTGCGGTTTCAAGAGATCAGGAATAACATTTCGTGGACTCAAATCATTAGCACTGGTGGCGCGTGGTGATAAATATAAATGAGAGTGGTTGGTCATGTGGATGGAAGAATTAATAAGAAGTGAGGAAGGGATTCTACCGTCAACAAGATGATCTCGGGTGTTGATAGAAGTATGTGGGAGGTCGTCACTTCCGGGTTGCTCACACCGTGGAGGGATATTTCTTCTTAAGGGATCTGAAGAGGAAGCCAAATTAGTGGTGCTCTTGGCGGCATGGGAGCGTGACCACAGAGCCAAAAGGATAACTGTTTGAGGCCGGTCGCGCACGGCTTTTTTGACGAGTTATTTCCACATTTCTGAACGCCTTACTACCGGAGAGAGAAATCTGTGGGTTAGGGTGAGGTGTGAAAATTTTACGGTCGATCTTTTTCAACTCTTCCGTTGTGCGAAGGTGGTATCGCCGCAGATGCTAGTAGTCCAAGAGAAACCCCTTACTGATGTTACACTCCTCTACAGTTAGTAATACGACCTCGCTGTCAGGCCTTAAGTTGCTGCTTTTAGTCTTATCATTCTCCAGCCAACCTTCCTGGCATAGTAGTTCGTAAAGGAACATGTGTTTTAGCCGATATAGCTCGGTCGAGTCATCACGGCAGACTAGCCTGACCATCACATCAAGGTCGCAGCTACGTTTGGAAAGTACAAGGAATACAACAGATAACCCTAATCCTTTTTCAAAACACTAGAAATGACAAAGAAAAACCACTGAAGTTTATCACAATTCAAATCGACTATGATACAATGTGGATATTTATAGAAAGTACCGAAACATGCTTAAGATACGAGTTCAGCGCCATTTAGTTTTGAAGTTCAAGTGTACAGTTAAAAAGTTCCGAAACAATGACTTCAAGAACTTTTTTACCAACTGATTCTGTTAGGGTAGTCGGAAAAATATACCAATAATTATCGTGTTAAGTCTATGGTGGCCTTGGACCTTAAATGTACATTTCCTATTGGTCGATGTTTATTTCACTTGTTAAATATTGTGTAAATGTTGTTTTCTATTTTATGGTACGATGTGGTTTGTTTGTTTGCTATATAAATAGAGTATGTCTGAAGTACAATGATTCATAACTCAGAGGCTGTGACTTGCGTTCTTGACTCAACTGGCTAGGACAGACAGCGAAGCAGGGCCAATCAGGGCACTAGGTCGTCCACTATGTGTTTACGTGTCACTGTCACAGAAGCGATCGATAAATACGCTGCTTATAAAAACCTGCAGTCCCACACGTTGCAACAGATTCCGGTCGGATTTTTCGGGAGTATTTCATTTTTCAATAATTAGTCATCTTAATTTGTAAGAAAAGTGTCATCTGTATTTTTATACATTTTATTTTACATGTTTATTTATCATTTCATTTTTCTTGTCTTCTGTTTAGTCTTGGCCAGCTGTACAAGTGCATGGAGTAATAATTCTAGTGGACCTATCAGGCTTTTCCTGGAGACATGCCATTAATTTAATGTCTCCTTGGTTTCTACATCGAGCAGTACATTTTTTACAAGGTTCAAGTCCTGTACGAGTAAAAGCTGTCCATATTTTCAATAGTCCTTATATGTTTTCTAAAATATATTCAACATTAGTACCTTTGTTAAAACCGAAAAATCAAGCACGTGTAAGTTTATATATACATGTATTCTGAATTCAAACTATACTCCCAATGACTCTTGATTTAGCTACTAAATATTGAGAACAAAAATAAAACCAGACGTTTCAGTTTTACTCCAACCAGCGGCGACTTATGGCAAACATTAGGGCATTTGTAATTTTTTAAGGTTTTTCTCGAAGAATAACTACTGATAATTTCAATTTCATCCAGCTATGCTTACAGGTTTTAGAAATTCAGATTACTATTTGTAAAACTGGTGGAACGTCTTGGGAAATAGTACATTTCCTAACACAGGCTTCCGTGGATAAGTGACCAAGTATCTTCTTCAAAAAGTATACTTTCTTATTAATCCTTATCCTCTTACCTCATATCCGAAGGCTTAGTGATAAATAGCATGAAAACGGATTGGAGTTTGGATGTGACCCGAATATAAGACATCATCTAATGACGTTATTGATTAATTTACATTGGGAATTTTAGACTCACAAGATAATTTTAAGTTGAAGGTGTTAGGTAACTTGCCTCTTTCCTTTTGAACCTTACGTACTGTCTATTATCACTATGAACGTTATTATCAATTATATTTGTTCTACTTTGTCATTAATGTCTGTTTGGTATGAAACTTAACGATTGTAAACGAAGTCGTATCATACTTTGGTTGTCACCCTACCACTAACCGTTATATTTCTGGATTAGCTAATAATTTGTCAATCTGCAATACCTAATTATCCGCTTAATAGTTCTGTCGCACTCAAGTGCTTTGAATTTTTACAGTTATCGTGTATCTAAACTATAGTAAACAACATGGACAGTATTTTAAGAAAATGATTTTAAGTAATACTCTGTAATCTATTTTTTTGTATGGTTATAATAATTTCGATGTAGCTTCTGGTTATTAAATACACTTTTCAGCTTATAAATCATTTTCACTATTGTGTGTACAATCATTGTCTTCACAATGGTTATTGTTGTAAATTTTAAAAATGTAAATGTTTCGCAGTGTTTTTTTAAATCCATTATTTTACAATGTACTTTCTCAGAATACATTTTCTGTTTATCACTGCCGAGAAACACAATACAGAGTTTTTTTATACACCGCAAATAGTCGATGACCAGTTACTAAGTTCAATTAGCCTTTTTGTCAGTATGATCAAACGTTTAAACTTCACTTTACTGACTTTGATTTTAATACCAGATTAATATCGTCAGCTTTTCACACATAAATTATAATTTAAAGTCGATTACATGATGTCTGATTGACATAGTGGATTTTCTGAATATTGATAGCAGTTGAGTAATATATTGTTCGATGAAAAATTTGATCATCGATCAACCGACTGTTTCATTCAATATTCAATGTAAAAGATGGTTATAAGCATGGTTAGTTGTAATCACAGTTTATCATTATTACGTGAGATTGCTGAATTTAGAAATGATATTCGGAAATATTTGTAACAATCGTATCATGTTGACAACATTTGTTCGTCTTTAAAGAACCGAATTAAAATCAGACTATTCGATCAGTTGGCGTGAATTCTTTTTCAATGTCTATAAGGGTCTGTTAATTGGTAGCCAACCAGTACCTGAATCTATACACAAAATACCTTAGTGCTATTCAAACTTTGTCTATCTATTATAAATAATCTAATTATTATAATGAAGAAAGCGTTCAAATTATTGACCACAATATTACTTACTTACGCCTGTTACTCCTCGTGAAGGAGCATAGGCCGCTCACCAGCATTCTCCATTCAACCCTGTCCTGGGCAATCCTTTGCAGCTCCTCCCAGTTGTTATTCATCTTTTTCATATCTGCTTCTATTTCCCTACGTAATGTGTTCTTTGGCTTTTCTTTTTCCCGCTTCCCTTCAGGATTCCAAGTTAGGGCTTGCCTCGTGATGCAGTTTGACGATTTGCGTAACTTATGTCCTATCCATTTCCATCGTCTTTTCTGAATTTCTTCTTCAGCTGGAAGTTGGTTTGTTCTCTCCCACAGAAGGCTATTGCTAATGGTATCCGGCCAGTGGATGTTGAGTATCTTGCGTAGGGAGCTATTTATAAATACTTGTACTTTCTTGATTGTGGTTGTTGCAGTTCTCCAAGTTTCAGCTCCGTACAGTAGACCTGCCTTGACTTTGGTATTGAAGATTCTCACTTTGATATTGGTTGAAAGTTGTTTTGAGTTCCATATGTTCTTCAATTGTAGGAATGCGACCCTCGCCTTTACGTCTGCATCTGAACCTCCTTGTTCATTGGTGATGCTTCCCAGGTATGTGAAGGATTCTACATCTTCCAGAGTTTCGCCATCAAGAGTGATTGGATTGCTGTTTTCCGCTTTGAATTTGGGGACCTTGGTTTCCCCTTTGTGTATGCTGAGGCCTACTGATGCAGAGACTGCTGCTACACTGGCTGTCTTCATCTGCATCTGTTCGTGTGTATGCGATAGGAGGGCTAGGTCATCTGCGAAGTCCAAATCGTTTAATTGATTCTGAGTTGTCCATTGTATTTCGTGTTTTCCCTCAGATGTCGAGGTTTTCATAATCTAGTCGACCACCAGGAGAAAGAGGAAGGGATAGAGTAGACAGTCTTGTCTGACTCCGGTCCTTACTTGGAATGCATCTGTCAGCTGTCCTCCATGCACTACTTTGCACTGTAGTCCGCCATATGAGTTCCGGATAATATTGACAATCTTCTTAGGAACTCCGTGGTGTCGAAGAAGTTTCCATAATGTCCTCCTATCTACACTGTCGAATGCCTTTTCATAATCAATGAAGTTGATGTACAGTGTTGAGTTCCACTCAATCGATTGTTCGACGATGATCCGTAGTGTTGCAGTTTGGTCTGTGCACGACCGATCCTTCCGGAATCCAGCTTGTTGATCTCGAAGTTGGGCGTCTTCTGCATCTTTCATCCGGTTCAGCAACACTCTGTTAAAGACTTTCCCTGGTATTGACAGTAGTGTAATGTCTCTGTAGTTTTCACATTTGCTCAGATCTCCTTTCTTTGAAATCTTGATGAGGTGTCCTTCTTTCCAGTCCATCGGCACTTGTTCCTCCTCCCAAATCTTTTTGGATAGAAGGTGAAGCATGTTTGTGGTTACTTTGATGCCTGACTTCAGTGCTTCAGCTGGTATGTTGTCGGGTCCTACTGCTTTCCCGTTCTTGATTTGTCTGATGGCTATTCTGATTTCCTCCGTCGTTGGTGGATTGACTTCTATAGGAAGATCTGTGTGCGCTGCTTCGATGTTCGGTGGATTCATTGGAGCCGGCCTATTTAGGAGTTCCTCAACGTATTCCACCCATCTGTTCCGCTGTTGTTGAATTTCAGTGATTGGCCTGCCTTCTTTGTCCTTGACCGGTCTCTCTGGTTTACTGTATTTCCCTGCTAGTTTCTTCGTTGTATCGTAAAGTTGTTTCATATTTCCTTCTCTAGCAGCTTTTTCCGCCGACGTTGCTAGTTCTTCCACGTACTTCTTCTTGTCGGCTCTAATGCTTTTCTTCACTTGCGTGTTCGCTTCTATGTATTCAGCTTGTGCCTGGACTTTCTCTGCTCGTGTTCGGCTGTTGTTAATTGCTGCCTTCTTGTTCTTCCTTTCTTTGGTCTTGTCCAGTGTTTCTATAGAGACCCATTCCTTATGATGGTGCTTCTTTAGGCCCAGAACCTCTTGACACGTTGAAGTTAATGCTTCCTTGATGCCTTTCCAGTTGTCCTCCATACAAGTTTCTTTTTCTTTCAGTAGATCTTGTAATGCTTGAAACCTGTTGTTGAGAGCTATCTTGAATTCGTTGATTTTGTTAATATCTCAAAGGAAGGCTGTATTGAACCTTTGCAGTGCTGTTTGTTCAGTTGTCCAGTGCTTCTTTAGCTCTATCTTTAAATTGGCCACAACTATGTGGTGGTGTGAAGCCATATCAGCTCCTCTCCTGGTTCTCACATCTTCCATTGTCCTTCGGAATTTTTTTATTGATGCAGATATGATCTATCTGGTTCTCTGTACTATGGTCTGGTGAGATCCATGTAACTTTGTGTATACGTTTGTGTGGAAATATTGTGCCCCCTATGACCAATTTGTTGAATGCACACAACTTTGCAAATCTTTCTCCATTTTTGTTTCTCTGTCCCAGTCCATGTCGTCCCATAATATCTTCATATCCAGTGTTGTCTATTCCGACTTTGGCATTTAGATTTCCCATCAGAATAGTTAGGTCCTTCCTTGGGCATTTCTCAATGATTGACTGCAGCCGCTAGTAGAATTGATCTTTAATGTCGTCGTTGCTATCATTGGTGGGTGCATAACATTGGATAATATTCGTTAAGATCCCCTACTTCTTTGTTTTGAATGATGCTTTGATGATTCTGGATCCCTGAGATTCCCATCCTACAAGTGCATTTCGTGCCACTTTGGACAGCATAAGAGCAACTCCCTGAGTGTGTGGAGCATTGTCCTCTTCGTGACCGGAGTATGACAGCATCTCCCCCGTATTTAGCCTTTGTTGTCCAGCTTGGGTCCAGTGGGTTTCGCTGATTCCCAGTACTGTCAAGTTGTATCTCCTTAATTCCGTTACTATTTGAGTGGTCTTCCCGGTCTCCCACATTGTTCGAACGTTCCATGTACCTATAAAAAATTATGCTCTGGTTGTTAGAAGGGGCTTCGGCCTCGTGGCTTCCGAAGGAACTCGGCTTTCACCATGAAACGTCATAATTCTTCTAACTCAAGACCTTTTAACTCCTAGGACAGAGTTTAAATAGTTTGAATTATTTTTTCTGGTAAGCGTTTTTTAGCGAGTTAGTTTTCTACGGGATGGGGTCACTAACCTCATGCCCAACCCTCCTCCTTTACCCGGGCTTGAGACCGGCAGTAACTCTAGAAGAGCTACAGGCGGAGCTGACCACAATATAGCTGATCTGAATTTAAAACTTAAATTTTACATTATTAATTGTCGTTTCATGATTGATTGTTTCTGGAAAAGTGTTTCTTATTATGATTGTCAATTATGCACACTTCATCTTATACCAGGAGAAACCGACCCTTATCATCATTTTTTTAGTTCCTAACTTTCATTGTACTTACGGAAATAATAATTTATGTAAAAAGTCTGTTTGGTATTTGTTATATGAAGCTTATCTGTACATGAAGCCTGGAAGGCAACTCACATATTTGTGAGTTATACCTTATTGAAACTGGGATTTTCCTAAACTATTATTAGTATTATCAATATTGGGAGGTCTAATGACTTTACAAGGATAAATGATTTATACTAAGTGAAATGTTTATTGTGATAGATTAGTGAATTTAAAGAAAATATATAATGTCATACTCTCTAGATCAGAGCGGTATCTGATGGCTTCTTCCAACAACTATACATTTCATTTGTCGACACACTTTAGTAAATACTGATCAATAAAACATCGTTATCTCAATAAGAATTTTTACTTACTTTCATTTCTGATATAAAATTCACGGAACACGACAGTAACGGCTACTTTTAACGGTGTTCGATACTGCCACAAACTCATATAGTTTAGTTGACTTAAATGTACAAACTGAGTCAAGGAAATTGTGTATGCAAAATTAAAATCCATTTGATTAGCATTCAATATTTATTGGTTTTAAATGACGGACGTGCATTTTGACGAATAAAAAAATATTGATGTAATTTACTTTAAAGTACAAGTTTGTGTACTCAATTTTTAGCCGGTAAGTTATTGTTGTAAGTGATTTAAAGCAACTTCTAACCTTTTACTTAATTGCTATAGAGATGACAATAGATGGGTGTTTGTGAAAAGTTTGAACCAACCCTATCAGAATGATAATAAAACTAAGAGTGAACAAACCGAAACGTGGCATCACTCCACGTATTCGTTGACTTGACCTAAGCTGTGTTAACACATGGCGACTACCTGGCTATCCACTACACGATAACCAGAATCAGTAGTTCAGGACAGTGAGTGATATGGTTGACAATCGGTCACAATGGTGAAGATGAATTAATTGTTTATCTTACTATCAGTGTCCCTTCTCACATATCTTTTTTCCTGTCTTCTCAAACTATGCTCTCAGTGTTTAGTCTTTCACATTATCATTGTTTTTACAGTTATTTCGATCATTTATCCACTCATTTTGTTCATTCCTCCTCATATTACGGATCTGGTGTGGCAGTTTGTGCTTATACGCATTTGTTCCAGGCTCTACGTTTATCATAATGACAAGTAGTAGAATAAAAGCAGAGAAATTTATCTATGGATAGGTAAAAGTCTATTGGGACTTTGATACAACAACATTACATTTGTTCCTATAACTAAACTCAAAATACAAGAAACATTTTTTGTGTCTCTAGAGCGTGCAAAATTCATCAATAACGTCTCTAAGCACCTTCATATAAAGTATGGAACAAAGTAACATTTTGAAAAATAACAAATTAAGCGATAAGTAAATCAAGGGTATAATGCTAAAGCACAGAGCATAGATATCAGCTAAGTAGTAGATTTATAGGGAACAAAATTAAAAGTTCAAACGGAGACATATTCAGTGTTTAAAATTTCAAAAATCAATTACGCTTACTGACGTATTTCATACCTTGTATTAGTTTTATTTGAACATTGTTTAAGTGAAATTAAAACAATTTAATATATCAGTATGGGGATTTGTGGCGATTGTAGTATGTTCACAGTTGTATATATACTTTTTTATATAAACAGTGATGGGATTAGACTTATTGACTACTTTGTGATAAGTTTATCACCGAATAACCAGTTTTGAACAATTCAACTTACATTTAATACACAAACACAGTTTTTAATATTAGTATCCAATACACTAACAGAATTTATCAATCAAATTGTTCTTATAAATTAGTGAATTCACTAGTATGGTATACGGGTTTCGCGTCTGAGTTAGACATTATGACTAATTAGAAAGTAAAACGCTTATTCTCGTCACTGTTTTCTAAATTTCTTTACTTGTATCCCGAGACTAATGATTACTATTTATTACACAATCATAGGTCGTTATGCACAATACATCATTAGAAAGTCTTCATGCTGCAATCCCTCCCCATCTACTCCCATGTAATGGTGGTTTAAACGGAACTGGACCTCCAGTTCCATCACCTGTACGTTTTTATTTACGTTATTATTTATTTTACTCGGTTATTGTTATTATAATTTAAAATGGTAAACTTATGGAAATTAGGCACTCACTGCGATACGTGAAGTTCCTGTTTGCAATTACTGTTGGGGTCGTGGATACATACTACAGATGAGTCCCATACTAAAACGAAATAGCTGTCCAGTGTTTCCTGTTTTCCTGTAGTTATCTAATCATTGTCACTGTAATTTGAAACTTCAAATTCAACACCTTATGATAACATTTATCCTGTGCTTACTAGGGAGCTAAAGTACAAAATACTTCATTATTCTGTCTGTCTAATAGTGAATGGATCAACACGTTATTTGTGTGAGCTTTCGATTTAATCACGTAACTGTTTATATCAACGAATGTAAATGATAATTTAAATACATTTACCTCTCATTATTCAATATATCATGGAAGTTCATTAGTTAGTTGGTATTCAGATCAATTTTAACATAAATTATTTATATGCAACATAAGCTCATTTGAATAAAATCATTAGAAAGTATAAAAAATATAATTAATTTAATTCAGAAGTTCTTCACTAAATGTCCATTTTCCAAGGTGGCGTGCTTGAATATCTGGGTTAAATGTTCTTGCCATTTGGATATTTCAACAAGTTATTTGTTTTCTTGTTTGTTTTAACATATCATTATGTCTATTAGTCTCATAACCTATTCAGATGTGTTTGTAAAAAGTGTACAACCTTTCGTTGTACAAGTTACAAAAGGCCCAATCAGAGATATCATGGTTGTTGGTAATATGCAGCGAAAAGAATGTACATTATTTCGATGTCGATTGACTGGATAGCTAACTTCTAGCTGACGACCACTCAGTATTTATCGCAAAGATCGATCGGGAAATAAGAAAACGAAACTTACTGAAATACTTTGTGCAGAGAATTCTATAACGTACCAAAAATATTATATTGAATAAAGCCATTATTAATAATAATATTAGTAATGATAATAAGATTTACAGTTTAATGATATAAATAATTTATCAAGCAAACATTTTGTGTTTTCAGATTTGAATGTAACTTAATGATAATACCTAATTTTCCTAACCAAATTATTCGAAGTGGGATTTCAACCTTTCTTTAAATAGTTGAACATCGAGTATCTTGTTAAACATTTAAAAATATTATTCAATAGATAATGTACGGCTGGATGTCATGATTTTGGAGAATACAGTTTCAATTATCTACGTTCAGTTTTTCTAGACTGTTGTGAAATATTTTATGCAGTGCAACAAAGGATGAGTTTCGATAAAATCTGACTGCCTTTTTTCAGAAAGATATATTTCAGAATACCCAGCTTATATGACACTGAGCACTGCGAAAGCTTTTTTACAAATTAAAAACTTTTCTTTGTCTGCTCCATATGAACTGGTGTTGTCATTAATGAATGGAATTATGCTTTGATGTAGCCTCTTCTAACCTGCTTCTATCCGGATTAGCCTAAAATGACAGATTATATACTACATAGGAGTGCTTAAACCAGTTATATTGGTATGAGATAATACAGAACACAATCACATTAATTACTACCACCACCACCAATAATAATAATAACAATAATTTTATTTTTCTACTAAGTTATCAACTACTGTGCTTATTCTTCCTCTATTATTATGTATTTTTTTATTTTCAGGAATATATCAATGGTTTATTAAACTTGGAAGATTATTTCATTGAAATGAATAAATATCCATATCATATTAATAGTATATCTGAAATGTGAACAATTGATAATCTATAAACTGTTTATTTGTAAATTATATTATTTGTCTATGTAGATTATTATCATTATGTTACTTATTTTTTAAACGGACATATATGTGATATAAATATATTTCATGTGTTCTTCTCTTATGTACACTCACTCATTCATCATCTGATCATATTGATATACGTATAGTTTATGTTTAATCTCTTTGTTCACTGATCCGTTTTATTATTATAAATGACAATGACATAACAGATATATGGAGAGTCTTTCAAATTTATATTCAGTGTTGATTTTTGTCTCCTGTTTTTCTACTTTCACTACTAATTTCTCGAAAATATATTCATTTTGTTTCAGTCTTATTTTTTAATGAATAATGTGACTCCAATGTTAAGTAGATCGATGTGAAGATTATTATTCGGACTTTTCTTAAGATAAATACATAGAGTAGATACATAAATAGAAAAATTTAGATTCATCTCAGCGTCGTTCTTATGGATTGATATAATTTAAAATCTAGTTATATTCTCCTTTTCCCAATAAACATCTGAATGAAATAATAAGGGAGGAAAGCTCTCCATACCGATCAGAATTTTTAAAATCATCTCAGGATGTTCTTATCACATTGTTTCGGCTGTCTGTTAATTATTTGGGATTATTAATTAGATTGGTTACTTAAAGCGTATTTTGTTTGAATTTTTTTCTTTCTACCTAAGTAATTCTTGTACTAACTAAACCAGGCATAATTATGTGTTTTGAATAAACTTCTGGATAAACAGTTCCAATATTGATAGCTTTAAAATAGGATATGGATTAGCTATCAAAACTTTCATGGAAATTCGTGTATATCGGTTTGTTTTCTTGAAGATTGATTAATAATACAGTGTTAATATATAACCGTTGTAGTTATTACACCATAAAACGACAAATTTGTAAAGAAGATCATACTTAGGTTTTTTATTACAACAGTTTACAGAATACGGATTAAGGCACTAAAGACTGTTTGACTTATAGTGTAATTAAGAGTCAGTCGAACATATAATACACACATTAGTTCAATGCTTACTACTAATTAATAGCTATTTATATTTGAAACATTCAGTTGATATGTTCCTTTTCAACATAGCCATTCTAGAATATGTTCAAAGATATGGTCCATTACCCATTACTTTTACTGTTTACTGCAACAGCTGAATTCAACTCAATATACTGGTTGTCGATTGATAACGAAAATGTTTTTGTGATTCTGATTACAAATTGTATGAGTAAGAGTGTGATATATGAGATAGATCTGCTATTGGCGATCATACAAGTGGTTCGCGTCAATTTAAAGCACCTTTAACGCTGTTGCCATGCTAATCTGTTAGTAAAATATCTGACGTACAACTTTGAGGTGTAAACGTAGTTCTACTAAAATTTATGTGAAAACCTGATTTTTCGAATCGACGATACCTGAAAATGATTGTTGTTCACAAATTCCTCTCATTGAGTGACAATGTTGTGTACTAAACACTGATTTTCAACATTATAAGATGAATTTTCAGTTAATAGTACCTGTATGAAACACTGACTTATTCAAACTGTACGCATAATACATCGTCAACTTTCATTTCAGTTACTGTTTTGTAATATAAGGTGAAATAAACTTACAAGTGGTTAGACTATCACTTCTTGATGTGCTGATCTAACAGTCGTTGCTTCATAAGGATTATACAAAATATGAATCCTAAATATCCAGTGTCTTGTGGATTTTTTCACATTCAATATTTTATAGTAGCTCACATGCATTTGAGTTTGTTCACATTTAATTTGGTCAAGCTCTTTTGTTAACTTGTTTAACGGACAAAGTCATCTGTATAATAACAACTTATCTATACCGTTGTACCGTTATTATTGTCGCGCTTGTATAAATATGTATGTTTGAGCATCACTTACCGCGTGGTGGCTATTCTAAATTCTACCGATTGACCAACTCCAGATATCACAGTACGACCTCAATACTGTTCGCCAATCTCCAATAAATCAGAACGCGAACCGTTGGATGAAAATTGTTTATGGGGCCAGGAGAAGAAGAAGAAGAAGAATACTTTACAGACAATGCATATTTATAAAGTTAGGACGACCGTGAGTATTGACCAATAGGAAAATGGCACGTGAAACAAATATTGACCAATAGGAAGACGACGCCATCTCACGTTCAAGGATAGCATTAGACTTAACAGAATAATCTTTGGGATATTTTTATGAATATCCCAACAATTCTGTAAATTGGAAACTACATCAAAGTTGAATTAGTGTGATAATAACTTTAAAATTTCATTGGTTCATAGAAACTCTTCTGAAATCTTATTGACTATCAAATATCGATTTACTGAATAGTTATAAAGTCGATTGTAATATTTTTTGTTTGTTGAAAAATTCAATTTTTACATCTGATTAATTTGGTTAACTGACATTATTTAAACTTAATAAATGATAACCCTAACTAAACAATTTGTAAAACGATTTTTAATTCGTACATACACTGAATGATATACAGCCGATTGTCATAGCCAAATCTTATGTATTAAGTACTTACTGTATCAGTCAGTCTGCTACATTGGTTCATGATAAAAGTTAAACTCAGCCTATCTTAGTTGTATTCACATTTACGTCATTTAAGATGAATGACTAAATTTATGAAGCGTTCAATTATATTGGAATTGACATATATATCATAAACGGTACTGAATGGTGGTCGTGTGGAGTGGTTGACTGATCATAGGTTTGATTGTAGCTGATATCTTTGGTGCACACTACTGAAGGGACCCATTCTGTGACGAAACGGCTTTTAAGTGATACTCAAAGTGATATCAAGCCATGATGAATATCCTATACCAGTTGAAAAAAATCTCTCAAAGATACACATTGGTTTCAATATCATAACGTTGATAACTGGTTCGATCTGTTGTTCATCGAAATACTGGTTTTTTTTACAAACTAACGTCTCTTAACGAATCACATGCAAGATGAAGATCACCTCTACTGTCACACTGGTGCGTTCCAGTAATTCCAGTTCAGGTGTGACCAGAGGTAATAATGGTGGCAACCACATACAAAGGTCGTATTTCACAATAAATCGGTCCCTCAATAATGAAAAATGACAAACTCCTGTAGTTTTATAATAAGTTCCTTCAGTAAGACAGATTCAAAAGGGGATCCATTTTCTGGATTTAGTGTTGTTCTAATATTCTTGTCCAATTGTTTTATTATTATTCTCAACTATGATATCTTTTTATTGAATCTCACTTCAATTCTCTTCGATAACTTTTTTAAAAAGTTTTCAGGCATGAGATATTTTTCTGGATTAAGAAGAGTAATTTTCTAGTAAACACTGTAGGTTAGAGTGAATAATTAGTCTGCTCAATTACTGTCGGTATTTCAGATTGAACCAAATAATTCACAGTTACATGTTATATATCATGCATATATACATATATATTCCAGGATTTGTGATGATAGACATCTTTTAGTTCTTGTAAAAGATGAATAGAAGAATGACCGATTAACAGTGTATAATGACTAACTTTTAACTGCCCATAAAATTGAATTATTAATGTAACACCTCGTCACCCAATCGAACTGTTATCCAAAAAGAAACACATCGCCAGCATAGTTTGTTTCTTCAGTGAAGTGATAACGTAATATACATAATCTTAAGAAAAAATAATAATATCTGACCATCAGGCTTAATTTTTACTTGTCATATCGATATGTATTGAAAGATAATCTGGGAACGCTTACAGTTAGGAAAACACCATTGTCAGAAGACTAGCAGTTTGATCCGAGGTTAGCTTAAAATATGTGCATCATTCAACCATGAAGATCATCTTTGATTGTATCACACCCATATATATCATGTTATAACGATGAATGTGAATCTTTTGGTGACAAGTTGTTTAAAATAATGAAAACCAAATCCATACTGATGTATATAATTTGTCCAGACAAGTCACTATTTCTTTTCTGCAATAGTTATCCAGAGTTTAATTTTGAACATATGCTATCGAAAGTATTTCATGATACTGTAGATGTAACAGATTTATTCAGAACAATCATACATAACCGAATATGTATTAAACAACTGAAACGAGTCGAATTACAAATAATTATTAACTTTTCTACTTAAAATCCATTCTCAAAAATACTGGCTGAATCACCAGAGATATTATTATGGATTCATTTGGAATTTTACGGCAGTAGACATTTATGAAGTTGATGAATCCAACATTGGAATAAAGTAATAATTTACTAGTTTCTAATTTTTGATGGTCCCATTCGTTGAATTCAATTTATGAAGAAAAGACTTTATCAACATAAGAGAGACGTACAAGCCAACGAACTAATTGAATTGCATTTTCATGTTCCAGATTATCCATATAAGTCTATAATGTTGTTAATATCTCATTTTCTAATGTAAGATTATCTCATAAGTGTGTACATTTTTAGTCACTGTTAATACAAAAAAATCGATGCAACTAGATAATTCGGCAATCAGTTTCAAAATAATCTTCATTAGCAATTTTATTCGTTGTGTTTCATTAACATGTGACTAATGAAAATATAATCAACCACTTTAACAGTTTTCAGTTTTTACAATTGATTGGTCACTTGACAGTGACCAGTGTCATATATTTTCAGTCCTTCTTGGTGCTATTCGAATTCTTTCGATTAATTTACAATATAGCCACTAGTCTAGGTGTCTCCATATGGCTGGTTGGTTGACTACCTCCAACCAAATAAAACAGGGTTTCCTGTCGACTACATGCAACCAACACCTTACACTTTGCCGGTTTCCTGTTGTGATGATCCAATGCATCAACCAACTTACAAAATTAAGTAGAAAGATGTAGAGCTGAATGCATCAAATGTCTGTTGTGATATATTTATTTTTCATGTTTAAACAGTATGAATGAAACAAATACCCCCTCACATAAATAATCATCCCTTCCAGATAATCTGACTATCATTGGTTGAGATGAGAGTTTAGTGAACATAAAGCCTTAAGAATTGGAAACTTCTCTTGATTCATTGAATTTCACTAAAGGCAGTTTGATTGCATCAATAATGCAAAAAACACGTAACGTCTCTGTATAATATGTTGGGAGAAATATATTCTATCTTGAAAAACGTAGAAAGAACAAGAGATAAAAAAATCATATTTATTTATTTGAATGCAAAAGTATTTGTACAAGAGGCACCGAATACATATGCGCCACAAAAGTCACTTGATTTGTATGTGGGGTGTGATACTGCCCGGGTGCCCAGACTGAAGCAGGTGGTTTTCTCAGGTGGCCACACCCCGAGTCTTCGACCT